AATGACAACTCCAAGACGTTAAGTATGCACCTAACATCAAGAAAAAATTAATTTCACTAAAAGTGCTTGAAAATATATAGTCATGAATTCAACAGTGAAAGTGGGAGCATAAGGGTATGCAAAAGCTAATTTGTTAGCATGAAAGGAATCTTGAACAATGGATCTAGTCCATGTTGGAAGAACAGCAGTTGGAGGATCAATTAATAAACTATTAATTCTCAACAAATTGGACCCAATAATGGCATGCAAAGCTTCGGTCACATAACTCAAAAGAGGACCTGAATTGCTTGAAAAAGCAAGTTTTGATATATTAAAGCAAAGAGATTTATATTTACATTTGTCATTCACTTAACAAAGAAAATTTTTAAATACATCTATTCCAACCTATGGGGCCCTTCTCGGGGAAGCTCACATGGTGTAGCCATAGGTTATTCCTCTTTAATTGATGACTTGTCAAGAAAGATATGGGTATAATTTTTGGAATATAAGAATGAAGCATTATATAATTCATGAATAAAAAATTAAAAACAGCTTGTTAAAACTAAAACTTGTACGAAAATAAAGAAGTTGAGGTCTGGCAATAGGCTTAAATTCTGTGTTGATGAATCTATAAAATTCTACAAAGATCAATGGATATCAAGGCATTATATAGCAAAGATGACTCTAAGATTATGCGAAGTAATGCAAGGTTGCCAAAAAAACTTTTCAGCTAAATCAGTTGCCACTCAAGTATAATCGATCAATAGAATTTATGCTCACGTTAAGTATGACAAAAATAAGATACATGCATTGAAATGTATATTTATTCGCTACCCTAGAAAAGTTGAAGGGTGGGGGTTATAGTGCATGGAGCCAAAATTTACAAAATGCAAGATTAGTAGAGATGGTGTAATAAAGCAAAATTGCTAAAGAGACAATGGAGATTCAAGTAGAGCAACCAATGATCACGAACAAGATAAAGCACATTCTAAATAATCTAGATAGCAACCTACCCAAGAAAGGCAAAGAACATATGACTTCTCAAGAAAGCAAAATTGCTAAAGAGATAATGAAGATTCAAGTAGAGCAACCAATGATCACGAACAAGATAAAGCACATTCTAAATAATCAATAGCAACCTACCCAAGAAAGGCAAAGAGCATAAGACTTCTCAAGAAATAGATCTCAGCGTGTTGCAGAAATCATATACAAATAGAATATGGGCATGTTTATCTCATAGCATGTGCTTTTGCTATAGATTTGATGAATGAAAATAAACTAAAATAATTGAAATAAGTCATGAAGGGTGATTAAAGAAATAAATGGCAATAAGCTATGCAAGAAGAAATGCTACCATTAAAGCAAAATAACATTTGGGAATTGGTAGATAGACCAAAGCACCAAAAAATAATTAGTTGCGACTTGTAAATAGTTATTCAAAAAGAAAGAATGCTCTACTGAATCTAAAGGAATTTGATTCAAAGAAGTATGGTTGCAAAGGACTTCTCCCCAAAAAATAGGAGTGGATCAATATAATGTATTATCTCCAGTTTCGAGGCACGCATCAGTCAAGATGCCATAGTAACTCAATTCAAAATGAACCTTGAGCGAATGGATGTGAAGATAAAATTTATTCATGGAGAGTTAAAAGAACTTATATACACAAAGCCACCTAATGGTTTCATTAAAGGATAAATTGAAAATCATTTATTTTCTTAAAAGATCTATAAATAAGGCTAAGTAGTCATCAAGAATGTAATGCATGAAGTTCGAATGCAAGAATGATTTTAAATGAAGAGATTATGATTCTAAAAGGAGCGTGGAGTTTTGAAAATTCTTTATCTCCTTCTTGTGTGTTGAAAACATGCTAATTGCTAGAAATAGCAAAATAGAAATATAAACAGATTAAAAAAACGCTTCAAGCAAAATTTGAAATGAAAGAATTGAGTCAAACAAAGAAGATTTATAGAATGGAGGTGAAGAGAAATAGATTCTTTAAATTACTATTTAAACTCAAAACTTCTTAATTAAAAAGCACACCTAAGCATTTTAAAATATAGGATTCAAACCTTATTCTAACATATTTGGCTCTCCATTTAAAAAGATCAGACACCGTTACATAATAAAAGGAGGAAGTACAGGCAATGGGTACAATACTAAAATACAGTATTAAGCATACTACACAACTTATGGTTGCAACTAATCTAAATTGGGACACGATCTCAATGTAGTTAGATTCAAATAAGAATCATTGGGAGGCAGCAAAATGTGTTCTAAGGCATCTACAAGGAACACACAAAATAGGCTTGATTTAGCAACAAATGCAAACACTAGAAAGTCATTGATTGGTGTGCATTAAAAATCTTAGGAAACAGAATCAACAGGAAAACATATTTGTACACTGTGGTGGCTCTTTTAAGTACATAATTAAAATAAATAGCTTTGTCTTATGCTAATGAAGCGAGCACTTTGGATAAAGGGGTCGATACATGACTACTCAGTTATGATTTTTTACAAACAGTCTCTATTTACTAGCAATCAATGTGTCATTTGTTTGCCCAAAAATCATATTCATTGTGAAAGTACAAAACATATAAACATGAATTACAATTTATCAGTAATGTGGAAATCAAAAAGTTGGAAAAGTTAACAAAAATTTCAATATATCAAAATCCAATTTACAACATAACAAAGACATTACATAAATAAATTTTCATAGTTAGGTGTTTAATGTAGATGCAAGACAAGTATGTTTGGTATTGAATTGTGAAGATTATTATCATGGTTTTATATCTCTACTTATTATTATTTGCTTGTTAATTTTTTTAACTAACCCAACAAATTTCAATTAGAATATTTGAAAGTTAACTACTCCAATTTTTTTTTTAAAATTGCATAGCCTCGAGTACGGATTCTAATAAATACCAAATGATGTCACAATAGAAAACACTAGTTATGAATTCAATCATAAAGAGAATTCCTCTTTCGTTCTTTCCATCTCCCTCGCTTCCACTTCATGCTTTATCCATGAGTTGATTTGGAGCTTGAATCATGCAAATCTGCTACTACCATTCTATTTCTATATTGTTTCCTTGAACTGTACGAGGCCAAGGTGATAGCTATAGATTTTAGATTCCCAGTTGCAGTCTTCAACTATTGGAAGATGTTAAGCAGTAAGGAAGAAAGCAATGATCAAATTGGAGAACAAGTGCTGTTCAAGAATCTGAATCCAGAGAGAGCAAGGCTCACCAGAGAGAAGAAATCCTAATTCAACAAGGTTTTCTTCCCTCACCCTTATTGTTCTTACAGATATAGATGAAGAGATTATTTCTAAAGTTAAGCTTGCATGTGTAAAGTGGAGGTGCGGCACAATTTCTATGAGATGACAGAATATAATGAAGATTTTAATAAAATTGCAGCCTCACCAGCTATGCTTTGTAATCAAATGCTGGCAAAGGAAAAATCGCGACAACCAAACCAAACTATAAGAAACATGCAAAAAAATGGATAGACAAGCAAACAAAATAGAAAGAATATAAGTCAGCAATGCACATATTAGATAATAAGTGGGAACAACAATATTAGAGATAATGATAATAAACATGAACTTTACAGGTTTAGGTTAAAGATACATAATCAGGTGAACAGGTAGAATGAACATCAAGTTATAGGGAGAAAAACAAATAGACCAACCATGGATTGAAGTTATGCAATTGACTTATCAATAGAAAATCAATTTAGTATTCCTCGAGAATGAACGAAGAATAATGATTCGCCAAGTCGACCACACTTGGGATAAGATTATGCTGCTAGTAATAATGATTGTAGCACAAAATCCAAATAAGCTCTTGTGTTCTTACACATTCAATTCACCTAAGCTTTTTCTTTGACATAATCATTAATTTAAGGCACATTTATGCTTGCTTTTCTGATGGTACAATTTATTATTTTGCTAAATAAAATGATAATCGAATGAAACATTCTCCGACTGATAAACATATAAACTTCATAATACAATTTGACGTTAATCAACAAAAAGGGAAAAATACAAGAAGGGTATAACTAATGTGCACATTTATTCTTTCAAGATTTTAATAGTATTCAACTCGCAGGGCACACATTTTTAACCTGCCTATTGATGATAATCTAAACAATCATTTTGCTGCAATATAAAAATAAATTTCATTATGCAAGTTAATGAGAATCAATACAATATAAAAATAAATAAAAGCGCACATTTGACTGGTAATTTTCACAAATAAGTTTGAAGGGCAATCATCATGCACATGCACTACAAAATGTCAATAAAATGCTCCTAAATTCATCAGCAACCCTTTCAAGAAGACTTCCAAATAATGCAAATGAAATTTTGATTTGATTTTCATTTCAAAACTAATGACAGAGAATTCAATACAAAATAAAGAGGAAAATAAACAAGTTTCTTCAGAAGCTAGTGAAGCACGGTAGTCTAAAATACAAATTAAAATGTCAGAAGTTCTTCACTGCCTCTAAATATAATATGCCTTGAGTGTAATGCTGCATGGAAGAAAGATGGCAATTGCTTTTCAGAACTAAATATGGATTATGACAAAACAGGTTTTGAAAAGACTCGACTAAGCTAATATAACCTCACAAGTATCTTCAGTCTTAACCCAACAATTTGGGAGCTTCATTATTTTTTGTCGGGTGTTACTTGTGGAAGTATATCTAATTTCCATAAATTTATTTGCACAACTTCCATCCATGATAGTTTGAACATTACCATTCTTCTCCTAACCCTTCCACATTCATTTTATCGTCTTATTAGAACAAACTATCATATATTTTAGACACCCAAACTAACCATTTTTCACTTCCACCATCTTATTTTCACTAGGTACTGCTCCCACAATCCCTCTAATAATAACTTTTGTATCTACTGAGTCAATATGATCTGTATGTGACAATTTCAAACAAATAATCAATAGTATTCATACAGAATTAAAGCGGATAAGAAATTCCTTTGAGGCAATGATACTAACCCATATTTGTCGGCTTCTCTAGAAAATGGTACCTAAAACAAAACAAAACAAGAAGGCAATCATCAGCTGGTATGGTACAAACCTTGAAGAAATGCAACTACAGAAATTTGGTCAAATTATCTCATGAATGTTAAACTTAGAAATTTTGAAATTTGCAGGTAAAACAGTAAATATCAAATAAAACAGAAAAAGTTCGTATATTAGTGGAAAAGCAGTACAGGAGAATGCTTCAGCGCACTAAGACGTGGCTTAATAAAATATGCATGATACCAAAAAGCATCTGCGTGGTAAATGAGCAGGCATTTATTTTAAGGAAAAAGCCCCCCTTAATATCGCCTCACAAAGTGTTAGAGGAGCCCCAACACAATACTCATGGCACACATATAGGTGCCCTTTCCTCACATAGCTGGTGAATCCCCTTCTTTAGCTTTCCCCACAACAGTAAATAGTGCAAAATGATTTATTACATGGTAAACTTTCAGGTGATCAATGCATTTTATCATTAGAAGTTGTTACACTACTTCATGCAATTACTAGCCAAATATCTTATCAACCAAAATCTCAATTTCTTTTCTTATATGAAAAAAGTAACAAAAAGTTTATGATAATCTATGCAAAAAAATAATTTATCCAGATGAATCATCTGAGTATTCCAGTATAATGTAGTTGAGGTGCATTAAAGAAGACCAGAATTTAACATTGTCAGTGGCTTGAAATGGCAGATGGATTCTTAAAACTCGGGTGGATAACAATACCCATGCTCATTTATTTAAATTAGCGTTAAAGGCTTTACGGAAAAAGTCGATAGCTTGGTGATAGTAGACACTAAGCTGTAAGTTTAAAAAAAAAAAACCCAATCCATTTACTTCTTACAAAATACTGTGAGGTCATTCAACAGTAACAAATAATGTATTTATGTAAATGTTACATGTGCCAGTTAAACCTATGGCAAAGCAAAAGCAAATAGTCAAACAAAAGGTAAAGGAGTGGATATCACCAGAAACCTCATCACGAGCAGCAGCCTTTGAAGCCCTGGAAGGGGAGCGAGAGCCATGTCTTCCACCATGGTTAAGCTCCGTAAAGACAGCACAATCGCGCCTTAATGATCTAGAAGGTCCGTCATCGTGGCTTTCTCGAGCATACCTTCTCTCACTTGGAGCATCCCTAGCTTCCCCACGTTCTCGATGTCTCCCCTTGTCATGTTCTACCCTGCTAGAGTTTATTCCATGCTCTCTTTGTGCCAATTGTTGGCTCTCCCTATCGGCTTGAGCTCTTCTTAGCCTTTTACTGCGAGGGGAGGGTGAACTGGAAGGAGACCTTTGCTTGGTTTGTTTTGGTGACCTAACTCGATCAGGTAGCTTCTCTTTCACAGGAGATCTCCTCTTATTTGAAGAATTATTTCTATTTGGAGATCTTGCTCTTGGAGAACTAGCTCCAGCAGAAGGAACCCTCCCACTCCTTGGAGAGTTTCTTCTGTGAGGGGAATGGCGACTTCTGACCAGTGAATCTGACATGTCAGTAGAATGCTGCTTGTGGTACTCTCTGCGCTCCACAGCAGGGGACATTTTTAGTATAAGGACCAATCTCGCTGCAAGAAAAATATTCATAAAAAACAAACCATACGATTTCTCTCACTCTAAATGATAAAAAAATCCCTGATATGTGTTAATTAGAAAGCAACAGGCAACATTAGCATGAAATACAACCTTGACCAAAAAGGCAATCCCTTCAGGATGACCAAACTTTTAACAAGTGGGAAGGCTAAGAAAAAAACCAAATCTTGATACCACAAAGTGGCTACTAAACACTGTGCCAGTGCATCATTTTCATCCTGTCCTTTCTCAGTCCAGGTAAACCTAAAATTTTATCGTAATCCAATTCACATGAACTAGTAATCCTAGAGCTTAATATTTTTTTATTTAGGGCATACGCTAAACAGAGAATTCACCACGAAGGGAGATAGTAAAAACCTAAGATGAACTTACTCGATCAAAGCCCACTGGAGTTGAGAATGAGTACAATATAAATAGACTGCTAAGGATGATTTGTTGGGATAAGAAAAGTGAAACGCCATCGGAGGAGATAGATGTGGTTGAGGGTGAGATATGGGGATGGCAAGCCAAGCCTGGTAAAGATTGTGTGGGAGCTAGGGTTGGGGCAAAGATTCCAAAAACCGGACCGGACATTGAACCAGTAAAGGGAGATGTTCAATGTTCAAAAGTTTAACAAAAGTTGAAATAAGAGTTCAGCCGGGAGACGTAATCAATAAAATAAAAAATTAAATAAAACATAAATGTTGTCATAATAGTATAATATGTGTCATTACAAAAAATTCTAAATGAAACATAAAATAAACACCTCAACTACATTCAAAGCTCATCTTAGCCAATGATCTCACATCTTACAAAAAGGAAACCTTCAACAACTACCTCATCTAACATTCATACCAACCAATGTTCAATGCCCGTCAACTATCAACATTCAAAATCCATCACCCTAATAAGCTAAGACAAATTAAGAATTATAAGATAAGAACAACTAACAAAAAATGAAGATGATATCCAATCAAAAAGTCATTCATTAATCAGCTAGAATATTAACCCAATCCCATCCAGATATACAAAATATTCTATGCTTTCAACTTAAGAGCATTAAAAAGACATCATCTCTCAGAGTAATTTGCTAATCATAAAAGAAAGAAGGACTGAAAAGTTGTGTTTCCATCTTACAGGCTAACAGCCAACAAACAACTTTTCAGTCTTTTTTTTTGCTAATTACAAAGATTTCAGGCAAGATTAATTTGCTAATCAATTTTTTCATGTTTAATATGCAAATAACGCCAACAAACAAAAAGTCAAAAGCTGTAACTATCCCAAATCAACACCATCAAGGTTTCATGTATTTACAAGAAATGATTCCACAATCTAACACATACATGCAAGATTACCTGCCACTTAATTACCTACACAAAATAAAGCCTCATAAAGTGCAGACTGCAGAGCGAAACCAAATAGTGACAAAACATTTCATATTTTGAAAGAGCAACCATATCCAAGTACTAGTCAACTTAGCAACACAACAGCACCCTTAGTACCCTCAAAAACCGCATGCTTAGCAAATTCACCAGGAAGAACTACGCGTACATAAGTATAGATCTCCCTGGACATATATATAGTAGAAGAACGTGGAGAAGTACCTAACCGGAAGGCCGATATATGTAAAAAACTAAAAATCAACAGGGTCCTCTATAGCCTCAAGCCAAGAATTTATTAACAAAAAAAAACTATCCACCTCAAAAATCAAAAGTTGCAGCCCTAACAGAACTGCCAAGTGCAAAACCCCAAAAGCATACGACATACCTGTGGCAGACGAGCAAGAGGTGAAACGCCGGCGAGCGGGCGGCGAGCAGGCTGCGTCGATCTGAGAAGGGCCGAGCGAACTGCGAACGCTAGAGAAAGCGGGATGAAGAATAGAACCGAGGTTTTGCGGACAACTGGTGCGCTTATCGCAAATATCGAACCGGGCGGGTCCGGTTCTGTGTTTGGCGGTTGAACCGGCGGGTCATCAGGTTTCGTGCGGGAAAGGGGGTTTTGATGAACCGGGAACAAACCCCTTGCATTAGATTATTGCAAAAACTTTTGTTTTGTGAAACCAACATCTCCCAAAGCTCTTTTACAAGAACGATAAATTTTCGACTGTTTCAAATCACAAGCCTCCTGTGATTCGATGAGCGGAGCATTTAAGAAAAAATTCGCATAACAGTGATGCTACTTCAAACAAAATCTTATAGTGTGAAACTCTACGGGAGAATAGCAGAAAAAGTAAATATCTAGAAGCTTCACAAAATTAAAAGTCACTCTCGTCGAACGAAAAATGTCTATTGTGATCTAAAACAACAAAAAAAATGTCGTTTTTTGTGAAACAACGTAGGAAGATATTCGAGAGATATTTTTTCACCAAACAAAAGTTTTTTCATACGTCAACATACACTGCAAAGGAACAGAGCTTCACCACCTTCTCAATGTTGTCCGAATCAGCCCTTAGATAATTACAACAAAACATTTAACACTTCATGAGAATGATGAGTGTGATTCCCTTGATGATATAATATTTTTTAAAATTATAATAATTTAAGAATCAAATTACAAAGCATTTTTTTTAGTTTTTTAGTTTTTTTCAAAATATTTGATCTGGACTATAAAAATGTAAATTTAGTTATCATCTATTCATCTAATTAATGTTCTAAATTTTTTAACAGGGTTCAAACTTTTAGCTCATATCATTGACTCTGATTGTATCATGTGTTATTAGGTTGTTCATATGGAGGCATTTAGTTAAATAAATTTGTTGAAATAAAAATTTGGATGATCCTTAATTTGGTTTCAAAAGTTTTCGAACTCTAAAAGACATTGAGGTTCATGCCTGATTGAGTAGATTTTTTAATGACACGTTAAAGATAAAATGTATCTTTGAAATGAAGATTAGTTGATAAGGTAATTCAAATATTAATAAACTTATATACTATATTTCATGAAACAGTAATAAAATCTTATAATTGGATAGGGACATTAAATCATATGACATATATGAAATGTGAAAAACAAATTGCATAATGCAATCAAGAAGAACCTTGAGGTATAGTGGTCATTAAGAGATTATTGATGATCTATTTGACAGTTTTTCTTATAAGATGAGAGACAAATAATTAAGAAGATAAGCATTGGTTGTGGTGGAGATGATGAACATCAAAATTAGCCTTGATGTCAGAAATTTATGTTAGTGTTGAGGGGGGCATAAGTTTTATTCATGATCACGAGCATCATCATCATCAGTCGAGATGGTATTAATGTCGATGATGAGAATTGATATTAGTGTTGATGATGAATGTTAATGTTTGTGTTGACAACATGCATTGATATTGGTGTTAAAAATATCATCAACTTTAGGAGGCAAAGTATGTGTCCATAAAGTAAATATTGGTGTTCATATTTTTAACAATAAATGGGAACAATATTAGTGTTGACCGAGGACACCAACTTATTTGCTAGGAAAATTGATGACATGAGTGTTAGTAGCAAGTGTTGGCCTTGTTAATGACAGTTAGCATCGGCCTATGTAGTGATGGGAGGTGTTAACATTTATGGCAATGAGATGTATCTTTATTTAGTTTTGCAAAAATCTCAAATACTTCATTGAACAATCCATAATGGCGACCCTTCAATATGTTATGTTCGTTTAGTATTTGAACATTTTAAGAATATCAAAATTAAGTTATCTTAAGCTCATCAAATTTATCTCTTCAAGAAAATTATTTGTCTATAAGTTTATTAAAAATATAATTCAGTTGGTTTCAAATTTGATTTCAAAAGTTTTAAATTCAATCATTTGCTTCAAGATACAAACTTGATCGAGTGTATTTTTTGTTGGCATATTAATTATTAAATTTATAAATTAAGCGATCGTATTTTTTTGTCTACTCAATATATAGTTTTATAAGAGGAGAATATGATTTAAAAAATTATTAAAAATAGTAACATTGATGACCACAAATGATTTTATTAAGTAAAGCATGATAAATTATATAAAAAATAAATAGCTCAACTATAATTGTATGATAACATCTTAATATAACTATAAAGTAAAAACTTGTCTTTAAATGACGATAACAATAACAAGAACAATAAGCAAAGATAATAACCTAAAAATAAAAGGGATGATATATTATAAAATAATATTGGCAAAACTAATGTGAGAGAACAATAACAAAATGGTTATTGACAAATAAAGTGGGTCCTCCTATTTCTTATACTAGGTGTCTAGGCTACGTTTCGAGTACAACATTGTCAAGGGAGATCTATTTTTATTTTTAAAACTTTAAGAGCTAAATTAATTATTTTGATAGGAATGGGAGTAAATTGTAGGGCCATAAGAAAATAAATCCAAAATAAAAAATAGAAGTTGTGATGTATTAAGAAAGAGATGTAACATAATATGATATATATTAATATGAGGAGTAGATCTTATTTAGAACATAATGATGTTGATAGAAATTTTTAAACCACTATATCCATATTTTATAAAATTGATTATAATTTGAAGGATGAAAACTTTATTATTAAAAATAATAATAATAATGCTCACATTCATTATCATAAATCATATGATTTAAAGCCAAACATAATAATTAATCCATTAACTATTTTTAAAGAGCATAATCAAAAGATGGACAATATTTATACTTGAAATATTATATAATTTTTTTAACTCTTTTTAGTGAAATAACAAATCACTTTTTAATTTTAGTATTAGCACATCCATCTGCTTTATAAATTTTGAGTATGAAAATGAAAGTTTTATTTTAAAAGAGTTTTAAAAATATTTATGATGCAAAATTAGAATTCATTTCTTCCAAAAGCTTGTATTTTCCATAAGAGTGGTCTAATAAATAATATTTAATAAACCTTGGATTTGGTGAGATATGGACTAGCATTGAATTGGTTGGGGTTGGCCAAGCAAGGGAAATTCCCTTTTTGTCGAGAGTATGTAGAAACACTTTAGGTGATTAGGGTTTACAAATGTAAGGGCATATAGGTATAAAACAACTTGTACATGTTAAGAATGTTTAGGTTAGTGATCTTGGGTGTTGCAAAATTTTCCAAGGACTATTGATTGAGCAAATCAGAGCAAAACATAGACTATATCCTATTAACTATTTTCATCTAATTGTGTATGACTTAGCATTTCTTCTATTTCTTTTCAAAGGAGAAGGTAGATTTTGTCAAGGCAAATTTAGAAAGCTGTTGTGAGGAAGTATGGAGATGACTTTATTCAACTTTACTATAATAATAATTAAAAAAAAATTAAATTTCTTACTAATAGAGTTTCTCAACCACAAAGCTCTTGGTGTAATAATTTATTTGGCAAAACACATTTAAATTTCATTTGAATGTATATTAATTATTCTATATAGCAATTAAATTGTAATTATAAATATTTCTATATTTTTTATAATTAAAATTTAAAATTGAGAGATGAAGAGGGTAATTCCACTATTTTTTAAAAAGTGGTTTTTTCATAGGGTGGAGGAGAGGAGGCCAATTTGAGGATAGTGGAGTGATGTGGTCATTTAGTTGACTAAAATAAGGTGTTAACTCGTCATTAGGCATTTTTTGACCGATGAATATTTTTAATAATATCTGAGTCAATTCTTCTTTAAATGAAAGTCAACTTTGAAACTAAAGTCAACTTTGAAACTAAAGTCAGTCTCCTTCAAGTTTAACAATCTTAATGCCTCCAATGTATCTTCTTGCTTCAAGATGTATTTGAAAATTGAATTACTTCCCTTGTATAAAAAATTAATACATAGTACACTCATAAACACACAACAAATTAACATAAACCTATAATTATGAAGTCACATGATCTCTAATTGACCTATATAATTTACAACTTTGTGAGGGGCATGGCTAAGATAATTACTTATTTTATAAAGACAAAGTAATAGGCTTATGATGCATTGCATTAGTTCCCATTGACCTGAAAGAACTCTTTTTTAAGGAGTTGAAGCTATTGTACTCATTGTTGAGATTTGGAACGAGCTCGGTGAGTTCCTCTAATAGAAGCCATGTTTCCTCATGTGGTTATTTTTCTTTCCACCTAGCCAAAAATATGTGCTCTCATATTCATCATATATTTCCAAATGTGAATAAATGCTCTTTAGCTCAATATGATTTGGCTTGTTATTCATCTACATTTGGTTGCTTTGATCTCCTATATAATAGTTAGAGACTGTTTGGGGCAGCTGCAGCTTATTGAATAATTTGCTAATAAGCTAGGTGTTGTGGTTATTATAATTTTTTATTCTTTTGGAAAAGCCAAACTGCTGCCAAAAAACTGTCACCACATCTAGATAGGTGCAGCGTGAAAACGCATAAGCTACAAAAACACAGTTTACCCAAACAGGTCATGTGTGTTTTCAAAATACCACCGCACCAAATAAGCTGCCCCAAACGGGCCCTTAGTCTCAAAATTCACATATAACATCTATTTAGAATAATAAAATATTTTCAACTTTAAATATATAACTTAGATGCATGTCAAATTTAATAAATTATGCAATTGATATAATTTTTCCAAGGATTTTTAAAGGCCTACAAAACTTTGTAATGAGCTTCTTATATTTCATAACATTCCTTTTTTCTTGAACAATGGTAAATATTAACTCTAAAAATTCATTAGATGGAATACTAATAATGTCAATATGTCTTTTTGGGTTGTAATCATAAAGTATTTTAAATAATGTTAGCTTGGTAGTTTTAAAAATAGGGTTATTATTAGAAATTATAGCATAGCAAAGTGTAAATTCTATAGGGTCTAACCAATAGCTAAACAAAGAGGCTCCTAACAAATAGTAGCTTATTCTTATGCTCATGATAGGCAAATGAAAGTCAAAATATGTAAGGGTAGGCCACCTAACTTTAT